CCATAGTTTGCAGTGGATAAGGGTCGTAAATATGATGTTTGAATCTGGGTCCATGTCTCATGAATTTTTTTTTTTCTAAAATTTCAAGACAATATTGGCGTTTATGTTTAATCTATGTTTAGAGTTCCTTTCTTTTTATAAGTTCGATGGGTAGCCAATATCTTTCTTGTCAATATTGAATTGCCATAGTTTGCAGTGGATAAGGGTCGTAAATATGATGTTTGAATCTGGGTCCATGTCTTATGAATTTTTTTTTTTTCTAAAATTTCAAGACAATATTGGCGTTTATGTTTAATCTATGTTTAGAGTTCCTTTCTTTTTATAAGTTCGATGGGTAGCCTATAGTTGATTAATCACTTTAGTAAAGAAAATGACATCTCGGAGACTGAATGGCAATTAAGGTTGGAAGTCATGTATGTAGTATGATATACATATACATGTATTTTCAGCTCAATCAGGATGCTATTACTTTGTACCATCGTAATTACAGCCGTGTTTTTGTTGATATTGCTATTGCATAAATGAAATTCTTCTTCGCAGGAGCCTGATAGGAGTGCAATAATAGATTCCTACATTCGGGTTACAGACAATGGAAGGGAGAGCATCCACAAAAAAGTATGATCTTTAGGTCCCCATATTTGTTTTCCGCAGAAATGGATGGGTTTTCTGTGTTTCTTCAAAATGCAAACATCTTCCTTTTGAATATAAAACTATTTATTACATGCAGGTATTCTTTATCTTCACACTCTATAATACTTCAAATCACAACTATCAGCTTAAGGTGTGGTAAACTCCGAGTCTGAGCTAGTTGTATTTATTTAATATTACAAAGAATTCATAAGTAAACTGCTCTAAAATTGGAATTTTACAGTTGGGAGCAAGTAGCTCAGAGGAAGCAGCAACATGGATTCATTCCTTGCAGGACGCTGCATTAAAGGTTCTAAATCATAAACTTATAACTGCAAGTATAATGGTTAATCTCGTGATGAAGGCCTCATGTTACTGTAATCTTTACAGAAATCTTCAGGCAATACGAGTAACATTGTTGATCCTCCTAAAAAGATGTGGTCGTCTTTGAGGTAAGAATAGTTTCATAGTTGAGCTATGCGTTTTACATGATTCTTTCACACTGAATAGAAAGAATGTTGAAACATTAAATTTTGGGAAATGTCATGATGAAGGATTTAACAAGTGAGTTCTCAGAATACATAGATACACAAATATACATGGAGCAGGAAGATGTTTGACAAAACATGCATACTGCCATCAATATCCCGTATTTAGTAGTTGGAACAATAGCACAATAGAGTTTTTCTCATTTGTGATTCAAAATCATAGTTTAGTTTTTAATAGAACCTCTTCCACTATTCTTCACATGCCGGTTTCCTTAGTGAGAGATTCTTTCATATTTAACTGAAAAGTGTATTCCTGCTTTCTGATCATGGATTTAAGGAACTGGTGAAGATAGCCAAATTCATTCTTTTATCATATCTGAAGAACTTATGTAGGTCATTTTTTTCTTCTTACAGATTGAGTAGCATAAAGAGGACCCGTGGAAACTCTATGGACTGGAATTTTAGTCCATCACTGCACACCGAGGCAATGACCTCTGATGTCATCGCACCATCACCTTGGAAAATATTTGGTTGTCAGAATGGTAAGACTTTGAATTCCTAATTTGCATTTCTATAGGCCATGTGCAGGTATAATTAGAAGATTGTGTTATGTTACTTAAGCAGGATTACGGTTTTTCAAAGAAGTAAATGATTGGGATTCTCATGGACGGGTAGGTTGCCCCTTGATGCTAGTAATGATTGTTGCACTCAACGTTCTCCTTTTGTTTGGGTAAAAAAATGCTTTTGTTTTCAGAACGGGGATGAAGCAATAATGGCTGTTGGAATGGTTGCTGGAACTTCTGAGGCCATTTTCCATACAGTCATGGCTCTTGGGCCCTCTAGATCAGAGTAAGATTACTTGAAATTGACCTCTCTCAGCCATGCAAGTGGTCCAATCTTATTATGTTAGTGCTGATGTTAACAAGCATCACTTTTAAATGAATTTCTGAAATTCTCATCCAAGTCAGGTTACAAATCTGTTGATTGGATAATGTTCTCAAGTACTTAAAAACAGTAGAATCATGTCATTTTCATTATAGGAACACGAAGTGATATCTAAACAGAAAAGATAAAAGGAGGAGAACCCTTGTCTTGATCTTAATGCAACCCAATCACTCTAATGATGCAGAAGTTAACTGAAATTTCTGTTTATAAGAAAAATGTTTATTCAAAGTTTCAAAACTAGAAAAAAAAAAAATAGCTTCAAGTATAATGTCGTGTTTCTCTTTTATTTATTTTTCTTTTATTCCAGAAGTTGAATTACCCTGTCTCTTGCAGATGGGACTTCTGTTGCTACAGGGGTAGTGTGGTTGAGCACCTTGATGATCATACAGACATTGTTCACCAGCTTTTATGCAGTGATTGGCTATCTTGGTCAGATTCTTTAGAACTTTACTAGAATTAGTATTTATGCTGTTATTAACATTAAAGCTTTTGCAGGGGAATGGGGCGAAGAGATTTACTCATTCAACGCTATTGGAGAAGAGAGGATGATGGCACATATGGTACTAATACTCTGAAGGAAATTTGACAATTATCATACTAAAGATTTGGGCTTATGATTTTCTGAACTGATAATCTCTGTTATTTTTGCAGTAATTCTTTACCATTCGGTGATTCACAAGAAGTGTCCCCCTCAAAGTGGCTATGTCCGTGCTTGCCTTAAAAGTATGCTTTGAATATAGAAATTGAATGTTCATTTGCCTCTGAGTGATATTCATGTCAAGGGTCACTTGCATTCTTATTTCTTTTCTCAATGGCAAATGTCAAGGTATTCTCAAAAGGGTAAATTTTGGAAAAGCAACTAATTTTGTTTCCTAATTCTAACTCTAATCTTCAAACCATTTGCAATGAATACTGAACTTGTGGTTGATCACCCACTAAGTGGCTATATTACTGTCTTCTGCTAAATTCACAATTTCGTAGTCCAAACTTGAAGACTACTTAAGCAGGGAATGGATTTGAAACATCAAACAGGATATAGAATGTATTGTTGTTCTTGTCAACCATAATTTGTTTTTAAGAATGTGATGAAAGTTTATATAAAAATTTTATTTTATTTGAAAGGCCTGACTTCTTTCTTGGAATTTCTATGACAAATTTGTGCTTTTAAGTATGAAAAACTACAAAAAGAGGTGATTGTGAGAAACTACTGGAACTGTAGATTGCTCCAAAGCCTGCATGTCTGGTTGCCTCTTTTCTCTACCCAATGCATGCTCAAGCCATGCTGATTTTAGCTCCTATGTTGATCCCTTTTCTATCCTTCTCCACTGACATGGTCAGTGGCTTAACCATGGCTAATTTGAGTTTTGGTTGAATATTTAGCAGCATTCTAATTTTTTTCCTTTGGAAACATGCAGGTGGTGGCTATGTTATCACTCCTGTGAACGGTGGAAATAAGTCACTAGTAAAACACATGCTTGCCATTGATTGGAAGCACTGGAGATTGTACCTATGCCCATCAGCTGCTAGATCCATCACCACTCGTATGCTTGAAAAAGTTGCAGGTATCCCTTTCCATTCAATAACAATAGTTGAACTTTGCCTGCTTCTGCTCTATTGTAAATACTGCATGCACATGCACATTATCACTGCTTTTACAATTTGCAGCATTACGGGAGTTATTCAAAACCAAACAAGGAAATTGTTTGTCAGAATCCTATGGAGAATTTGAAAGAGAAATGGAGTTGGCCCAAATGAAGAAAGAGGGTACCCAAACTAAAGCACAAGAACCAGAAGAGATTAGCAACACTGACAAGGATACTTTGATTGTGGAAGAGGTGGAGAAACAAACCTCTGGGCGTGCAAGTCTAATGGACGTGAATGATACATCAGATGAGTTCTTTGATGTTCCAGAAACATCAGACTCAACAGATTATGACTGCCTGGAGAATGAATCAAGTCCAGGATTGCCCTCCCTGGTACCAACTAGTCCAAACTTTAACTGTTACTCTTTAGAGGTAGTCAAAGAAAACCATAAGGAATCGAGTTTTGTTTTTACTTTCAATTTCATTATTTTGATCACATGAACATTAGCCCCCTGGTAAATTGAGTTTTGTTTTTTTATTTTTTTGGTATGTATTAGGGTAAAGTCATTTTAAAATTGTTGATATATTAGTAATACTTAGGCCTATGGTGTGGGCCTTTCTTATCGTGTGTCCTTGCCAATGGTAACCACAACAAGTAGACTGGATGACAATTCTTGCTCATAACATCGTAGATGTACTATATGTTAGTCACAAAGAAGATGGATTGTATAGAGTTTATATGTTGATATGATCCTTATTCCATTTTGATTGTCTGATACAATTTATTTATCTCTCTTGAAACATTCAGAATAGGCAACAGCCTGAGTTACCTTCTGCAGCTGGCCTCGTGAAAAACTTACAGGAGCTTGCAAGTGAGTTCAGTTGTGGTAGCCAAAAGTCCTAAATGTTGTTCTTTCTTTTGTTTATGTGTAATTTACAAATATCTCAACCTTATTGAATTTGCAGCCCAAAAGAAGGGTTACATGGAGTTACCTGAGGTGACAAGGGAAGAAGAAAACATCACAACTTACTCCTATGGAACAACACTTCAAAAAGACCCAGCTTGCAATGTGCCTTGCAGTTGGGCCACTGGTGATCCTTCAGTATTTTTGATTCGTGGAGAAAATTACTTAAAAGACCATCATAAGGTACATTCATTCTGCAAATGAATTTAAGACTGTGAAATCAAGTAGATTATTTGAATTCTCTATAACCTTTTTGACCTGTTTTGCTGATGAGATCAGATTCTAGGCTTGATATATTTAGAAAATCATCAGTGTATCTGAATTTGATGGTAGAATGAAAATTTTATAACCATTGTTAACTAATAAAATGTTTGTCACTTGGAGTAGAACTAATAATAGGTTTTGAAAGTTATGAATTTGTGGAAAAGCAAGGTTTGAAGCTGAATACTGCAAGAATGGCTTGCGAAATTGAAAGAAAACAGAAAAAAGATACTATGAAGCTTTGATCTTGTAGATTCATATCTCATCTCTTCCCCTTTTTTTTTCCCCAAAATCATTTTCCTTCTACCAGATCAACGCAAAGAGCACCTTGATGCAAATGGTTGGTGCAGATTGGCTAAGATCTGGCAAACGAGAAAATGATTTTGGTAGCCGCCCTGACAGTATTGTTCAGGTTTGAACCACTATCTTATTCTTGTGCAATTTCTAATTTCTGGGTACAATATGAATAGACATCTCTTAGAAATGTATAGGCACGCCATCAGGAGCAAATCAATGACTCAAAACATACTTTTGCTTGTATATTGATGCAGAAATATGCAGCATGGGGCAGACCAGAATTTTTCTTTATTGTTAATATCCAGGTATATTTGATTCATACCATTACTTAGATGCCATTATTGTCTTCAATAATCACACTTATGCTCATTGTGCAATTTTGATGAAACAGATTCCTGGGACAACTATGTATACCATAGCAGTGTACTACATGTTAAAAACTCCTTTAGAAGAGCATCTCTTGCTACATAAGTTTGTAAATGGAGATGATGCCTATAGGAACTCAAGATTTAAGCTCATACCATACATTTCTACGGTTAGGAATACTTCAGTCTAGAACTTTCTCAAAAATACTTCAGTCCAGAACATAACTGAGTTTCCATCACCATTTTGGTTTTAATGTTCATTTTTTCTCACCAGGGATCATGGATAGTCAAGCAGTGTGTTGGAAAGAAAGCCTGCTTGATCGGTCAAGCCCTGGAATGTCATTATTATCGTGGGACAAATTACTTGGAGGTACATTAAGAAATCTTTAAACAAAAAAGAATGCAGCAAGAACTTGGCTCTCTCTGTCATATGCTATTTTTCTAACAATATGCTCGAATTTCAGATTGAAATTGATGTTGGTTCTTCAACATTAGCAAGGGGAGTAATGAACTTTGTTCTTGGATACTTCAACAATTTGGTCATAGAAATGGCATTTTTGATACAGGTGAGCCTTAAATATCAATTCTTTTGACTGAAAACCTGTCTTGGCAAATTGAAGTTTGTAGTAACCACAAGTATTGTGCAGGGTAATACACAGGAGGAGCTCCCGGAATCTCTTCTTGGGACATGCCGGCTTAATCATCTTGATGTAACAAAATCGGTCCTAGCAACACCGTGAATTAGAAGAAATCTTGTTTCCTTTCATGGGAGGAAGATGATAAGGGAGATACATCAACTCAAGTGTATAGGTTTAAAAAGACCCAAAAAAAAAAAAGAAGAAGCAGAAGAAGAAAATTTCTTTCTCTTTCCTTCCAGTCACATTGAGTTTGGCAGGAATGTGCTATGATCAAGCTCTTTGTAAAAGGCTATCCTTTCCTTTATCAAGCTCTTTTTTCTTCAAAATTCTGTCAATTAAATGTGTATGTTTGTTCCTGCAAGCATATACATATATGATACATGCATGTTCTTAACATTATTATCTGAAAAGAAAATATTAGTATGCCATAAATTTGGTGGGGAAGTATGCTTCTAACTTCGCATGATATAGCTACATTGTTTCCTACCCCTTCAAAATTTTTCTTAAATAAGCATGGGATGCCATTCTTCAATAGACCCTTTTCAAGATCCGGCTGAAATGGACCAATGTATTAATCTTTACAGAATTTAAAAATAAAGGCCCACCTAAATCTCTAAAACACACAACTATGTAACTCATTTAAACTCCAAATTAATCAGTTTTAAAGTTTTGAAGTTGTGGTGTGTTTTGTTTCTTTATCATTTCATATTGTTCACAAAAATATAACTTATTTAAAACCCAATCATTAGCCTTAAAGCCCGAAATAATTTGGAATTAAGCCTTGAGTTGAAGCCCAAACATCTTCAATGGTCATCCAAATTATAATATTTACTCATTTACTAATTTCTTTAGCAGTTTTGAAACTACCTTCAGTTCATCGTTGTTCAGAAAATAAATTGCCTCGATTTTCTTTCTCTACGTCCGAATGGTTATTGTGATAATTAAGGAAAGGTTAAGTCTCAATTTTGATCCCTTAACTTTAGAATTTTACATAATTTTTGTTCTTCAACTATTTTATGCTATTTTTTGGTCCTTCAATTTCAAAAAACTGAATAATTTTGGTCCCTCTATAAGTTAAGTCACATGTGGTCATTAAAATATGGAAAATGATTCTAGAACAATCGTTTTGTACCATTTTTTTTGCATAACCTTATGTGTCATTTTAATAATTAGTTCTTTTTATTTATTTGTGACCCATGATATTAAATGTATCTACTAATTTAATGAAATGTGAAAATTCTATAAAAATGTAGTATACAAAATTATCCATATATCACCACTCTTAAAATATTCCATAATGACATTTTTTTTATGACATATAATAACACCTCATATGATGAGGTTACATGGACAAAAAAGAAAAAATGCCAAGTCAGATGCCACAACATCTAATAAACAATTTGCAAATTAAAAAACAAGAATACAATTCTACCCCCACTTTCATCCTCTTCATGGTTCTCTTTCTCTCTCACTATTCATCTTCTTTTCTCCTCTACCACTGTCTATCTCTTGCTCCCTATCCTTTCTCTAGCCACTCACTTCCTCCCTTTTCCTTTCCTAGTTGTCTGATCCCTCCCTCTCCTTCTCTATTTAAAAACCCAAAATCATTAGATTTGAAAAGAACCTATTTATGGGTTCAACGAATAAGATTTGGGTTAAAAAACCCATATTGAAGTGTCACAAACCTAGATTTTTTTGAGGATTTTGTTGTTGTTTTTGATAGATTTTGATTGTTGTTTTTGTCTTCAATGATTATGTGTGTTTTTCATGATGTTTGTGTTCAATTAGGTGCAATTAATTGAAAAGGTGTGTTCTATATCTTCAAGTTATTATACAATGGGAAAGGGATGGAGGAAGGAGGGGAAGAAGGTGAAAGATTGAAGGAGAGAATGTTGGAGCACTGAACAAAGAAAGATAGAGGAGGCAAACCCAAATCATCTGGGTTTGCGAGAACCCCTTGCTAGGTTTGTAAGAACCCTCGTTGGGTTCTTCACAAACCCAGTCACAATTAAGGAAGGGGCAAGAGAGGGAGGGAAGAAGAGAAACAATGATGAAGAGAAAGTAACGATGGCTGGAATAATGGTTGGAAATAGTGGCAATGGCGAAAAGAACAAAGAGAGAAAGGGTATAGGAGAATGATGGCAAAAAGAATAAATTAAAGGCATTTTAGTAAGTTTATATTTAAAAATTTTAAAACAATTAAAAATGACAATTAAATCTGATGTGGCATTGTCTATCTAAGTTAATTGTATGATTTGTCATTAACATATCATTACAAGAAATAAGGAAAATGCCACATGGATTAAGTTAATGAGACTAATTAATGAAGGGATCAAAATTATGTAGTTTTTGAAGTTGTGGGACCAAAAAATGCATAAAATAATTGAGGCATAAAAACTATGTAAAAAAGTTGAGGGAGCAAAATTGGCATTTAATTTTAAGGGAAATAGTAACTTAGGAACCAAATCTATTACACTTCAATTGGTGAAATAAATTCAACATTATTGCCACATGAGATTGTAAGAGTGATCAAACCCTCAAATCTACTCCCAAATATGGAGATAGGAACAAAGTCACTCTCCAACTAAATGCAGAGACAAATTACCCATTCAACTATTTAAGTTGGACAAATTACTCTAAATTTAACTATTAACATCACATCACACCAAATTCCAATTACTTTCTAGCTTACCTATCTTCTTTATCTGTGCAAGTAGTAGCAAAAAGTTGATGTTTTATGATATCAATTGTTAAATTTAAAGTTATTTATCTAAATTAATAAAAGGTGTAATTTATCTCTATATTTAGTTGGAAGGTGACACTACTAGAATGCAAAGCACCATCAAGCAAATATCACCGATGTGAGAATCTTTGTCGGTTAACAAATAATTTATTGACAAAGAACATGTCAATATAGTCAAAAACAGTAACATTAAAATTAATTTATATTATTTTAATTTCAGAGGTGGATTTCATCAGTAAATTCAGGAAATACCCATGTGTTTTTTGTTGTTATTAGCCAAGACTATTCACTCCACCGTCTTCGGTGGCTTTTCCAATGCAGTAGGCAAAGAGTTTACAGATCGACAAAGCTCTCGTTGGTAACCATGAGATCCTACAACAACAATCTTGTCAGTAAGTTACAAAGTTCTCCGCAATACCTACCTATGCAGCTTTTCAGTCCAATGAGCAAAAAATGCTTTTGCCGATGAATTCCTTGTCGGTGAACTTTCTTTGTGCCACCTACATCTTTGTCGGTAACCTCCCCTTACTGTAGTAATCAGCCCTCAGCAAGTGATGAATCCTTTTCCTCAATTTGCGGAGAAGATTCCTGTTTGTAATAGTACTTTTGCAACCATGTCTTCTCGGTGATGGGAGCTGGTCAAGCTGAACTCTGATGTAGCACAAGAGGTGACCAAATTTTTGCTTTTAACTTGCTAGCATGTGTTTAAATTGATAGCATTTAAGTTGCCAGCATGCTTTGAACTTCCAACAAGAATCTTCTTGGTACAAATTTTTGCCTTTAACTTCCTGGCATGCATTTGTCGGTGAATGATGGTGGGAATCACAAAATTTTTGGTTTTTAGTTTCCAACAAGAATCTTGTTGGTGAAAAAAAAGGTAGGATCACAAAATTTTTGGATTTTTTGATCCTGCTGAGACTTTAATCTTACCAACGTGTTCTTTTTCTCTTCTGTTCTTTCTCCAGAATTTGATTAAACATGAATTTGAGTTATTGATCAATTTATTTACACTTATAACTTTTTTTAATATTGTTGTTGAGGAAACATTGTTGGGAGATAATCATTGGGTAAATAAATTTTATTTATGTAAACTATAATTTA